TATAAAAAATATAAAAAGTGACTTTAATTTTATAAACTATCTAGTGAAAATCATGTATATATCATTAGTGTTAAAAATAAAATTAATTTTCATATTTTTTATATAAATTAAAGAAAAAAAACAATTAATATATCTTTAACTTATGCCCTAAAGTCTCAAGCTATATAAACCTTCATTGAAAAATGGATATTGAACAAGAAATCAAAAGAAATGTGATGAAATGAAGAATCAGAAAAATATTGATATAGTTTGAGAAATATGAAACTCAGCACTGAAAATATTTTCTCATCCATCATATACACAAAATTACAATAAAAAATAACGTCATATTCATGTATAGTAAATGGAATTCTACTAACTCTCCTCCAAATATAACATATTTTGACAAAATAATTTAACTAACACGATACTTCTAAATATTAAGGAAAAATTCCATTACATCAAATAATATTTTAATTTTAAAATTGATTTAAAAATTAACAATCATTTAATTAAGAAATTATATTATTTAAATATAAATAAAATAAAATAATATGAATTATATAAATTATAATAATGTGACATTTAGCGATATCTTATAGAGTATCCCATTGGAGATGCTTTAACTACACTAGTGGAACCGCTAACCAACTGGTGTTTTCTTATATTAACAATTAAATAAGGGCTAATTAACCCAAATCAATTAGTTGAGGAGTGGATTAGCCTGAAGAAAAGAAGTTAAGGGGCTGATTATCCATAATGTGATAAGTTGAGGGGCTGATTTAAAAATTCAGACGCAGGCCAGCAAACATAAAAGGCCGAGCCAGAATTAATTAAAGCACTGCCTCTTGTCCTTCAGTTTCCACAAAGTCTGCTTTTCTGCTCATTTGTGTTATTTCACCCCTTTTATTTGTATGCATGAAATCAGATCCTTTTTCTTTCATCTTTCACCACTCCCAAATCCAGCTTTCTGTTTGACTAATTTGTCATTCCCTTCAGTCTTCCTTAAATTCATACTTCCATAATCCCTCAAACTAATTTGCACTGCATTATCCATTGATTGTTTAGCTTTTGTTCCTTGTCAATCCACTTGTATTCTCTGTAGCGTTGTTTTATCATCTATATATTTCTCAAAACCTTTAAAAAAAAAAAAGGGGGAGAGAGAGAATTAGAAAGAACAGAGCAGCAGCATTCTTTGTTCATTTGTCCAATTGTTGATCAATATTTCACCGCAAATCACAACATGTTTGTGCACAAGGACCAGTCCAATGTCATCAAGGTGCTGAGGAAACAAATTGCTGAGTTGGAGGACGAGAAAGAGAGTGTGAAGCGCTATACTGAAGATTTTTACAGTAGCAGAACTGAAGCACTCCAGAATTGGTTGGAGATCACATCAAATTTCATTCAGAGAGCACACTATTTGCTAGAAGATGTTGGGAAACGTGGGAAGCCTCTTTTCCAACTTAGAAAGAAGGCGGAGCAGATATGCAAGGATATTGCTGCACATGTTCAAGAAGCTCGTGGATTCACCGTCATCCCACTTTCCTATCGACAAGAGAAAGTGGCTGCTGGTCGTTTTGAGGACTTTGAATCGAGAAGTGATGTTTTGAAGGACATCATGGAGGCACTACGAAGTCCTGGCATCAACAAGATAGGAGTGTACGGGAAGCCTGGTATGGGGAAGACAATGATGGTTAGAGAAGTTAAAAGAAGAGCTGAGCAAGAGAGATTGTTTGATGCAGTTCTAATGGCAACTGTGGGTAGGAATCCAGACTTACCAAGAATTCAAGATGAAATTGCATGTGTTTCTAATGAAGAGACAGGGCTGATAGAAAAGAATGTCCTCGTGATTTTGGACGACATATGGGAGCCAGAATTATCTTTGGAGTTGCTTGGAATAAATGGGAAGGAAGAAGACAATGTTGTATCTTACAAACTTCTGCTGACCTCTAGAGATAGAGATGTTGTATCTCATGCATCGGAAACACAAATTGAAATTGGCAGCTTAGCTGGGGGAGACGCATGGAACCTATTTAAGAAGATAGCTGATGATCCAAATAAAAGTCGTGGTTTGCCGTTTTATGCAAATGAGATTACCAAGAAGTGTGAGGGCTTGCCCATTGCTGTTGCAACACTCGCAAATGCCTTGAGAAGAAGGAATCTGATTGAGTGGAAGACTACTTTACGAAAGCTACAAAGCCTGCCCTTTGATCAGCTGAATTCAAGTCAGATACCACAAAGCCTGTATTCAGCTATCAAGTTGCATTACAGTGATTTGAAAAGCAACGAACTCCAACAAATTTTCTTGCTTTGCAGTCTACTAGGTCAGAATGCAACCATTCAAAACTTGTTGAAATATGTTATAGGCTTGGGCTTATTCCCAGAAGTCAAATCTATAGAGGAAGCACGAGCTCAAGTGCTAAATTTGGTGACGAAACTCAGAGATTCTTCTTTGTTGCTGGATAGTGGTAGCAGTTTGTACTTTGATATGCACGATCTTGTTCGAGATTTTGCCACATCGACTGTTTCTAAGGAGTATGGTGTGTTGGCTTTAACAGAAGACGCATCAGTCAACCGATCACACATGGAGGCGATGGAGAGCATCAAATGGATTTATTTATCAAATGGGGACACCAGTCTGCTTCCAGATGAGTTGAAATGTCCGCAACTCACTTTCTTTCATTTGTCTAAAGAGGGTCCTTCTCTAGCAAGTCCACCAAACTTGTTTAGGGATAAGGAAGGACTCAAAGTTTTGAGTTTGTCGAAACTGAATTTTTTGTCAATCCCTTCCTTAATTTCCTCCCCAAAAAACCTTTGTACTTTGTGTCTGGATCAAGTTGAGTTAGGAGCCACAAATATAGGCACAATGATGGGAGAGCTGGAGAATTTGAAAGTCCTCAGCCTTGCAGGATCTGATATCAAAGAGTTGCCAAGGCAAATAGGGCAGCTAACCAACCTGAAGTTGTTAGATTTGAGTGATTGTACCGAACTCAAAGTAATTCCACCAGGTGTCTTGTCAAATTTGTCAGGATTAGAAGAACTATATATGAGAAACAGCTTTGTTCAATGGGCGGAGGGCATTGAGGAGCATGAAAATCAAAATGCTAGCCTAGCAGAGTTGCAGCGTTTAAAGTTGTTGACTTCTATAGAGCTACATGTTATTTGCAATATTCAGAAGATTCCGGGAGGCTTGTTCTCTGAAAATTTGGCAAGATTCAAAGTTTTCCTGGGAGATAGGTGGAACTACTGGAGTAGTGCTTGGGGAGTTTCAAAATTATTGAAGCTAAAGCCAGATGAAAGAATTAGTTCTCACCACTCAGTTAAGAAGTTGCTAAAGAAGACAAATGAACTACATCTAGAAGGATTGATTGGTGTTAAAAATGTAGTCAATGAGTTAGATAACGACGGTTTCCAAGAATTGAAGTATCTCTTTGTCCAAGATGCTTCGGAGGTTCAACATATCATCTCAGTACTGAAGCCTGCATTTCCTGTATTGGAGGTATTAGTTCTTCGCAATTTGGAAAATATGGAGAAGATATGTCATGGTCCGCTAGAAGCAGCTTCTTTTAGAAAATTGAAGTTGATAACTATTGAATGTTGTAACAAGTTGAAGAATTTGTTCTCCGCCTCTATAGCCAGACAGCTTCAGCAACTACAAGAAATTATAGTGAAACACTGCAGTGACATGGAAGAGATTATTGATGACAAAGAGCAAGAGAGTGGGAATAGTGCTGAAGAACGTGTAGGACATATTGTGGAATTAATTACTCTGCGATCCTTGAAGTTACAACGTCTACCAAAGCTGATTAGCTTGAACAGTAGTTGCAGGAACATGACCTTTTTCTATGAAAAGGTATTTAAATTTTTTTTTTCCCATTTTTGTTCTTTCCAAAGCTACCACCTATATTCCTATCTATTTTTCTATTCATAGTAGAGTATTATGGTGAGTTGGGGTTAGATTAATAGAAGAATAATATACTGTTGAATTGTTTACTTTCCATTGAGTAGAGTATTTATACAATAGTTTATCAAATAGAAAATTATACAGTAACTAAACTTCATGAAAGTGCAAGAAAAAATTAACAAATTTGTTAAATAAATTTAATTTATCAAAAATAAAAACCAAAAAGTACATTTAATAAGTGTATTTCAGCATAATATCTTTGATAAAGAAGATAATATGAAGATGAATAAGATATGACAATGATATATTTAAATGATGTGCCATTCTAAATTTAAAATCATTACG